TAAGCAAAATTGTTTTGATAGATTTTATAGAATCCGATATTGGGGTTAAGTGATAGACATCTTTTAGGTAGGTTTTTGCAAACAACTGTAAACGGGTTAAACAGCTCATAATTATATTTACATTGACTCAACTGAATGAGCACAAAGTGCCTAGAAAGGCGGTTAGGGACATTAAAGTTTATCTCACCAAGTAACGCTGGCGAATCGATGCAATCATTCATTAACTCAGTCAAGAAAGAAACACCAAGAATACATCTATGTTTCTCACGTGGCGGTAAGGATAACAAAAGCAACATATATTCATAATGGATTGGAAAAGATAAGCGAGTCCCAACACAAATTCCTAAGAGCATACAGCAAGGATTGCTTTTGAACGGACTCAATTGAATCTACGTAATGCCTGGAGGAGGGAGATCACACAACAGGGGCATACTCAAGTATTGGTCTGACTAAGCCTTTTTGCAATGTAAGAAACCTTAAGTTCTTTGGGACAACTCTTAATGAAAACAAACGCATACATAGCTTTCCTTAAAAGAGCTCAATGTGCCAATTAAAACGTAATCTTTGATCGAATAGAACCCCTAACTCGATAAACTTGGGTGTATCGATGAAATACTCAGTACTGAATGGCTTCCTTCTTAGGTAAGAAAGCTCCTTGCATTTTTTTAGATTTAATTTCATAAAATTTAACGAGTACCATATATACCAAAATTATTGAAGTCAGTTTGAAACTGACACGATTGCGATTTCAAGGGGAAGAAAGAAAACATTACCATCGTCAGCGTACATTACGACCTGGTTAGATTTAATCACCGAGGAGAGATCACTAACGTATAAGTTAAATAAAAGAGGTCCTAAGTGGCTGCCTTCAGGGACAATGCGATAAATTCGAAGTTTTCATTTCTTGCTTATTGCGGATGCGCTCTCACGAATTAGATGATTCTGAAAAATGTTTTCAAGAATAGTATAACGATGTGAACAGAAGACAAGCAGGAATACTAGGCAAGGTCGACCATTGGTAGTCATTTTCTTAAGAATACATATTGTAGATTACATATTATTATGTAAACGCATATTTTCAATGAAAGTCCACATATTGAAGGGCACTCATAAGCAAACCTAATTTAATTGCCAAAGATTTCATTTCCAAACTTCGCTTCCGCGATAACAAATCACAAATTACATTTTGACGCCGTAGAAGGGGCTTGCTTCCACGAGAACGCATATATTAATGGTGCGGTCTAAAAAATAGATCTATGTTATCTAAAAAATAAATGTGTTTTTTACAAGAATGATTCTTCATCATAAAATAATAAAAATTAGATCTTTTTGGCCTTGTTTTTTCTTAGAACAATTGTATAGGCTGTGATACAAGTAATAGATCTACGTAATCCAAATTCGGTACGGTTCATTTTTATGTAAAATGAGTATTATGAGCAGACTTTCATCGAGAGATATTGAATACTAAGCTCTATTAGCATATAAATATTCACTTTCAGTAGGCACGCTTATACGCAAGGGAACTATGCCATCTGATCTAAGGTTTTTACACTAATTCAGGATGCCGTAATACTACTACTAAGCGATGGATGAAAATCACACCACTTTTTCATATAACGTCTTAGCAAAATAGAGCGATATATGGGAAGTGATCGAGTACGTGGTCCGATCGGAACGATTTCCCATGGCGTTCGTTTTTGTGCCAAGACACATCTGTGTATTAAATTTCATTAAAACATCTCGAAAAATACGATATGTATGTTAAACAGGCCGCGGACGGACAGAGGGGCTTAGTGCTTAGATTAATTCAGAAAATGGTGTTGAATGGGTGGGTATAATAAAAGGCAGATGGATCGTTCTGGTGGGTTACGCACGTCCGCCCAATGAATTTTTCATTTAAACTTCGCGGATATTCTGCGTAGAGTTTCATGCCAACACGATGGGGACCGTCCAATAACGAGGCCGAAGAGACGGACGGGCTACACACGCGAATCATCTCGTGTGGTGAACTTGTGTTGATAATGCAGAATAGATCAGACAGATTAGGTTGAAATTAACTTGATATCAGGTAAAAGGGCAATAATCTCACATACTAAAGGCTTGATAACTTTAAATACTTTTCCATCTCTATAAGTCTAATTCTTAATTTCATTTATAGCGAATTGAAACTGTCACAAAATGAAAATCGAATAAAATGGCACTTTACTGTAATTTATGCAACACGTACAAGAGTAGATGAAATATGAGTGAGGTACACGTATTATAATGATAGTAATAATAAAACAATATAAATAAAAAGTAATCTGTATATTTTGCATATAGCTAAGGCAAAGTGTATCGAGTTGAGTAACGAATTGCAAAATAATTCTTATGTAGGTGGTTGCAACTGTTATAAAAAAGGGAGTCATGACTGCCATCTAAAAAAGGAATGCATTAAAATTGCATTGAAATGAAGTAAGTTTGACTGACTTGGCGACTCTTAATTATATATTATGACGATGAAATATAAAACTTTTCGATGCTTTCTATTCTTGTCAAGAATATTTTACGTTGTTTTTCAGAAAAGCTGAGTGATTTGAGTTATTTCATTCAGTTTTTATTTTTCAAAGTAATGCGGTAATGCAGTAATGCCGTCCTTTCAATTAACATATTAATAAGCAAAAGTAAAAGAAAGGAAACTTAACACAGTTTTGAAACCAAGGTTTAGAATTTCAGAATAAATAAAGATGAAGGGTTGCCGAGTCGAAGAGGAAGGCATTTGGAGTGAAGGGTATTAGTAACTTTTCAATAAATGGGCTAACTGAAGGGTAATTCCCAGTTGGATGAAAGCGCACATTAAGGCCTTTATTAAAAGTACACTAAAGTGGTTGTTTAATAAAATGTTTGTTGTAAGTTTGCCCATAGAAAATGATAAAAAAAATATTTTTCAATTCAAGGGATAGTAGAACAGAAATGCAGAAGTTTTCCCTTGAATATCAAAGTGAATTGTGAAGTGACTACAAACCACAACTATTGCAAAGTAAACAAAGTGTAAGCATAAGTTTTCCGGAGAATTGCAAAATTTTAAGCTTCAACATTGACTAGGTGACAAACTGTGAGATAATAGACGGTGTTAAGTGAGATTCTAAATAGGAGGTGTTGTTGAGAAAAAAAAAAAAAAAACAGCTAAAAAAATAAAGTTCGGTCGCGACAGAATCTTTCATACCCATCACCGTTTACTCCAGGAAAAGACAAAAGAAGTCAATGAACAAAATTCTCATGCTCTATAATACGGAGTGGGCGTAGTTGATGTCCTCTTTTTTCAAAATAAAAGTTTTTGTCCTAGAGGCATGTGGGCGTTGTAGGCGTATTCTTTAAAAAGTTTAGGCCAATTCCAAATCCTTTTGCAAATTTGTAGGCGATATGTTCACTTTCGCTAACGGAAGAATGTTTACCACAAATACTACAAAGTTGCGCAAGCAGACAGATCGACAGAGGAACGGGCGGACATGTTTAGGTGCACTGCAAATTTGAAACTGCCCTCGAATTTCCATACTTTGTTAGGATTTTGAAGTATGTTTCTGCGCGTTATAAAGGTATTGAGAAGATAGTGATATATTGATACACTATGATATTGGGTAGGTGTGGTCAATATTTTACACATGTGTGCACAAATGTCACAATTTGTACATTCATTTGCTATAGTTTGTGAGTAGTGAGCAAAAACCAATTTTTCATTCGCTTCAGAAAACACCGAAATTCTCAGTTTACGTGGTGCTGTGGGCGTGTCCTTTGACCGATATGAACGAAATTTCAAGTCGACAGCTTTATTTTTTCGGCCAGGAAAATGTTTACAACAGACATAAGACCGACGGACAGACTGGCAAGCCTAAATCGATTTAGGATTTGATTCTGATCAAAAATATGTATAGTTTGTGGAGACAAGTGAACAGACGGACAGATGAACAGACGACAAGAGAAACATGATAACGTGCATTGCGGGATTTGCCACTAGCAAAGAATTGATACACTTTTTGCGGTTTTTAAAGCTTGCTTCTAGCCTTATATAGATTTTCATAATAACATTGAATTGTGATATGCTGTAATATGGAGTGGGCTTGTCCCAACGTTTCCATTTTTGTGCAGGTACTCAATATCGCCCATAGAACACGCATGCAGATTTTTATAA